AGAAAAATAAGAGGAGGGTGTACAAGATGAGGGTGTATTTACAGCATGTGATAAAGATCTAGAAGATAAGGCAGCTGAAGATCTAGAAGAAACTCAATTCATTGAAGTAGAAATTGATGAGAGTGATGAAGAGCTAAGGGAAGCAAGGGATAGAGTGAAGGATTGCAACTCTAGGATACTTCAAGTAGTTGAGCAGTTGGAAAAAGAAGTCTGTGAGAGGAAGGTTGTTGATGAAAGTGGTATTAGCATAGCAGTAGCATCAGAAGGTGGTTTTAGAAGTGATTGTGATGAGGATGAAGACATTGACACCCTAACTGGCAGTGATGATGAGGTAGATGGTCTTAAGGGAGAGTAAATGAGGCCAGATAGAGATTTCACAAAGTTTAAATGGAATGTAGGTCAAAGATTTGCTAATAGTTCAAACTTTAAGGATGTTGTAACTAAGTATGCAGTTATGCAAGGGAGGGATTTGAAATACACAGTGAGATGGAAAAGTAGGAAGAGGTTGGGAGTTAAATGTGTAGGAGATTTCCCCTTTTATGTGTATTGTTCTATGCATTCTAGGGATTCAACATGGCTGGTGAAGGTTGTAGTTGATTCTCATACATGCCATAGGAATATGAGTAAGAATAGGCAACTTAAATAAACTTGAGGGGCAAAGAAGTTGCTAGAGGTTTTCAAAGCTAGGCCACATTGGCCAACTAAAAAGATTGTGGAAACTGTAAGAAATGCTTACAGAATGATTGTATTCAAAGACTTTGCATACAAAGTTAATTATAGGGCTCACAGAATGTTACATGGCTCTTTGAAAGAGCATTACATGAAGGTTGAGAGTTACTTGAAGGCATTGCAAGCTGAAAGTCAAGAGATTGTCTTGGAGTCGATAGTTGCTCCACAACCAAACACTTCTACTCCAATATTTTAAAGACTGTTCACATGTTTTGATGGTGTTAAAGAGGGTTGGAAAACAGGATGTAGGAGAGTCATATGTGTTGGTGCAACATTTTTGAAGACTTTCTTAGGGGGTCAGATTTTGAGCGTTGTTTCTAGGGACCCTAATGAGCAAATGTATCCTATATGTTGGGCTATGGTAGAAAGGGAGAACAATATTTCATGGGAGTGGTTCTTCAACCATCTTAAGTCTTGCCTAGACCTAGAAGATGATGAAGGAATTGCTGTGATTTCAGATGAGCATCAGGTAAAAGTTTTTTCTTATTTGCTTTAGTTTGTTTTTGGTTTCATTAGTAAAATTTATGCTAAGTTTTTTCTTTTTTGATGTTGTTTCTGTAGGCTATACTAAGTGTTGTTGCTGGAGTACTGCTCCTAAAGGCAGAGCATAGGCACTGTGCTAGGCATATTTATGCCCTACGGCATAGGACCTACAAAAGAGATGAGATGAAGCTGCAATTTTGGAATATAGCCAAATTCTATAATGAAGCTGATTTTAATGAGGCGATGGATGAATTGAATGAAATGAATCCAGAAGCTACTCTTTAATTAAGGAGGTATAATCTAAACTTCTTTTGTAGAGCATTCATGAAGCCATGCATAAAAACTGATGCTAGGACTAAGAACTTGATATTCATATTAGAGGATATTAGGATAGCATTAATGCAGAGGTAAGTGCAAAAAAGATAAGATATGAAAAAATCGACTTCTGTAATTTGTCCTAGAGTACAAGCTAGGTTAGAGAAAGAGAAGGAAAAGGAAGCTAATTATGATGTAATGCCTTCCTCTAAGAGTAAGTTTAATGTGAGATATTACTTTGATCAGGTCAATGTAGATTTAGTTGGTAGGAGTTGTAGTTGTAGAAAATGGAATATGATAGAAATTCCATGTTGCCATGCTATTGCTTGCATATATTTTCTAAATAGAGAACCTGAGGCTTTTGTTGATGAATGTTACAAAGTGGAAACATATAAGAAGGTTTATAGTGGTTCTATACCTCCTTACGAAGGGGAGAGGTATTGGCCAAGGATTCCATGCAATTTAGACCCCCACTAATCAAGATTGATCGTGGCAGGCAAAGAAAAGGATTAAGCACCCTCTTAAGAATCCTAAGAAGCCAAGATCTTTCAGTAGGTCAGGGACAGAAATGAATTATTCCATTTGCAACAAGAAGGGCCACAATAAGAGGGGCTGCCAAGAGAAGGACTCTGAACCAACACAACCACCTGCAAAAAAAAGCCCAGGGAAAACCAAGAGGTGTATCATCAACTCCTGAACCAACACAACCATAATCCCACTTCAACTTCAACTCCAGCAATAGAAGCTACCCCAACAGCAACCTCTACCCATCATAACACTTCTGCACAACCCACTCAGTTAGGCAGGGGTAGAAGTATGATTTTTTCTGGTGAGGGGCTAGAAGTGTGTCTCAAACCATTACTAGAGCTACAAGTAATGTAGGAAGAGGAAAGGGATCTGCAGTGCCTCAATATGCAACTAGAAGTAATGCAGGTCAGGGGAGAGGGAGAGGCAGACGCAGAGAAAGGGGATGAACAGGGAGTGGCTGTGAATCTGCTGTTGCACCTGTTCAAGGATAGGGGAGAGGGAGAGGTAGTGGAAGCAGAGTTGCATGGAGTGGTAAAGAATCAACTGATGCACCTATTTCACCAAAGGGAGAGTGTTGTCAAGGGGTATAGGTAGAGCTATGACACTAGTTGGAGTTAGTGTGCTCTTTGGTGATGATGGAAACCCACTTGTAAGCTTACTTGCTTTGTGATTAATTTTTTTTTCTATTTTTTTTAAGTTGAGGTATTTATATCAATCTCATTACCTTTCCTTATGTGTTTGTCCTTATGTCTCAGGTTCTAGTACAAGAGCAAGGAAAAGATCTGTTTCTAAACTGTGATCCATCATCATATCTTGTTGTGAAGCTTGATTGCTTAGAGTGTTGAATTTAGTTTTGTTTTGCCTGTCTACACATCATTTAGAAAATTAATGTTGCTGTTATTGGGTGTTAAGACTTAGATTTTGTTGTTAATTGTTGTTATTTGGTGTTAACAGTTCAGTTATGTACTTCAACAATGATGCTACTATTTTGTATGAGCACGTTGAACAATTGTAGTTAAACAATGCTGCTCCTATTTTGATGTGTATTTGCACACTATTTTGATGTGTATTTGCACACTATTTTGATGTGTATCATGAAGCAATTTATATTCTATCAATTTGTGCAAATAATTTTTCTCTTTTTTCACTTACAATTTGTACGAAATCAATGCCTGATTTTGTTGACTTTATTAGTTGCTTCTTTGTTAATTTGGTATGTCATAACAGGTTTGCAAATGTAAACAAAAACTACCTAAACTCCGTATATTATTCAACAAAGAAGATCCATAAAGCATCCATTACAACTCCTAATTTCTTGTTTGACTAATTAAAAATAAAAACAACAAAGAACAAGCATCCAAGAAACCACCAATGCCAAGTACAAAGTTTTTTCAATCCTACTGAATTTATCTAACTCAATCCTCAATTCAATAACTTTTTTCTTCACCTCTTTCAATTCTTCCTCCAAATTAGCTTTCTTCAACTGCAGTTTCTTAATTTTTTTCATCTCCGAATTTTTGTTCAAACTCTAATTCGCATATGATAGTATCCTTTTCCAACAACTTGAACTGGTACTCTTCAACATCAGTGTGCTCAGTTACCCATTTGAAAATAAAATAAATAAAATATTGCAAGATATTCATTAATAATTTGAAACTTATTGGCCACACAGGACACCCATAGAACTTTATCCCAAAATTAGGGACCTTTGTCACTGTCTTAATTAGAGCTTCCTTCCCACAATTACAGCGAACTTACACATTCACAAGCCTTATTTTGGTTGAGGATGAAGCTGATGCGTATGAATTAGACCTCCTTGCAGCCATTCTCAGAAGATAATGAGAGGATGGAGAGAGAACCAAAAGGATGGAGATGATTGAGAAAGGAGAATGAAAGAACAGAGATGATGGAGAAAGAAAGAAAGAACAAATTGAAAAAGAAAAGAACAGAGATGGGGGTAATTAAAGGGAAAGTGGGAATAACCTGACACTTATATTCCACGTAGGCTTAGGGGAGGGGAAAGTTAAGTCAATCCTTGACTTTACCCCAAAACACTTGCCACGTCACCAAGTTAACCTGCAAAAACCGGTTGCCCATTAATCCGTACCATTTAGGGAAAAAGTACATAACAGGTGGTGTTATTATGGAATAATCAAAAGGTGGTGTTATTCTTGGCAGACCGCTTAAAGGTGGTTTTATTTTTTAGCAAATTTTCCAAATATAAATCAAATTGAAACAATTAAATTAGATTAAAGTAGAGTTGATTTGGTCCAAATCCTTAGTCAGTTCTACATATCTTCCGATCCCCTCCTTAGTTTAAGTATGGAACTTCAGGTGTTGTATGGACTCCTTGGAGTGCTTAAGGGATATATGATGAGATAATAGGGAAGGCTAGTATATAGGCTAAAGCATAAGAGAAAAAGATAATTGTTTGGTGTCGTATTTACAGAGAAAATTTAAGGGGTGAAGCACGGAACCCTAGAACTGAAGCGTTGCGAAAAATCTAAACCTTAAAATTACCATGTCACGGTGTAAAATACTGTGACACAATTTGCCGAGGCGCGGAAATTTTGTTGTGATGCGGTAAATTCTAGTTTTTACATGTTTTTAAAATTATGATAATTTTTTTATCCATAACTCGGAATAATGCATATAATATATTGTTAGAAAGATCATCATGTTTAATTTCCATCCCAATTAGAATCAGGTCATAATCACTTGTATATTTTAAGATATTGGTGTTTTAGTGAAAAGGTATCGATTTTGGGCCGAGTTTAGTGTTTTGCTCATATCGTATTCATTTTAAATCAAATTTGGGCTTATGATATACCGTTGGAAAGTTTATTTCAAGGTCTATTCTAGGGATGAAATTAAATTGGACAAAAACCAAAAACCAATCCAAACTAAACCGAATTAGAAATTCGGTTTGATTTTTTTCGGTGTGGATTGGTTCCAAAAAACTAAAACTGAAATTTTAAAGCCCAAAGAATTCTAGCCCAATTCTCTTACATATATACTTCGTATATAGTAAAACCCTAATCCTCCCTCATCTTTTCCAATTTCCCTTTCAGCCTTTCTGATCTGCGGCCACCACCTTTCTCACCAAAACCCTAATCCTCCCTCATCACCTCACTCACTCCGGCCACCACCTTCCCTCGCCACCACCTAAAACCCTATTTTATTTTCCTTTATTCTCTTTCACTATTTCAGCCTTTCTTTCTCACTTGCGGCAACCTTAGTTTTTCACTTTTTTTTTAAATTTCTCAGAGTCGCTCACCCACCGTTTCCCTTACCACCGATCTTGTCCATTTCATCACTCACCACCACCTTCCTCACAACCGTTACATTCAGTCACAGTCCCTTACCACCGCAACATCGCTCGTCAGTTGTTCCCTTCATAGTTCATACTTCCACTCACTACAACACTCAAAGGTAAGAGATCGAATTAACTTGCTTTTTATGTTTTGATTTTGCTTGAATTTTGATTAAATTTCTCCAATTTCTTTGTTTTTTTTAGGTAATTGCTTTTTATTGATTTGAATTAACCTAGTTATGTAGCTAAATTGTGTTTGCTAGTTGCTACTTTGCTTGAATTTGGCCTAATTAATTGTTGACTTTACAAAACCTAATAAAGTAGTAAGAATAGTTTTTCCTTGATATGCAACCGAATCATGAAGTGTTGTTGATTGGAAATTGTGATTGATTTTCTATGGGGTTTTTTAGCTCCCTCGATTTTGATTGCATCTGTAGTTGATTTTATATTTCTGTTTTTATAATTTTTTTATATATATACATGGATTTGTTCATTTGGAACTTTCATGTAATAGTAATATTTTTTAATTTAATTTGTTATTTTTCTTGGTTTTTTTGTTGTTGTACAGGAAGTTGAGGAGCTTGGAGCTGCCAAGTTAATTGAAGGCTTGAAGTTTCTATGTTGGCTGTTGTTACATTTTAAGTCCTTTCATATGTTTGTAAGTTAATTTTAATGCCTGGACAATTTTTTTAATTATGGACTGAATTTTTTTTTAAAAAAGACTTGTTATGCATAGGGGTGTACATAAACAGGACCAGACCTGAAAACCGACCGAAACCGGACCTGTTGGGACCGGACCTGACCCGGACCTGTAGATTCAGGTCTGGTCCCGATCATTGAAATTTAAGGATTCTGGTCCCGGTCCGGATCAGGTCTAAAACCTGAAACCCGATAAAATTGTGTTTTTATAAATAAATAAATAAATAAATAAAAGCTTTTTTTTCAAAACAAGAAATCAATTTCATTTTTAACCCTAACTCCCTCACTCTCTGACTCTCTCAACCTCTCAGCTGACACCCACATCAGTTTATCCCTCACGCCCTCACGCTGCACGGCTGTACGCTCCCCTCAGGCGCCCACCAACGCGAAAACCGCCTTTGCACTCTTCATTAGCCACCACGCAAACTCCACAGCCACCAGATCACGCGATTATATAGATCACGACCACCAAATTACGCGGATCCAACGACCGCAACCACCAGAATGCCTGGCTCCAGCGATTGCAACCATGAGATCGCGTGATTCCGGCGACCCAGCAGTCACTACATCTGGGCTTACAATTCTTATGGATGTTGTGTTGAGGTGGTTCCTGATTTCTTGCTGCCTTCTAATTAAGTTCTAACTGCCTTGTTCACCTCAGCAAGCATTTTGGAGAATTAAGGGTGTTGATTGATGAGGAAGTTCATCATGAAGCAATTCGTTTTGTAAAATCCGACTTCGCAGCTTATGGTTAATAATTTATGGGTTGTTTTTCTGTATTAAAAAAATAAAAGTGCTAATAAATGTACTCCCTCTCTCCCAGTTTACTTGCAACATTTTGACTAGACACACTTGCCGATATACATGTTTGACCGTCCATACCTTTTATTATATATTTATAAAAGCTATAAAATGTTTATATTTAGAAACAATACATTAAAATAGATCCAATAACATCTTACATGATTACATTGACTTTCATATAATAACTACAAAAGATGGTCAAAGTGAGATGTGTGAATAGTGCAAAAAGTCAAAATGTTGCGAGTAATTTAGGACGGAGGGAGTATTTTTTTTTTCAAATTGATTTTTTTAAAGAAAAAAAAATTGGTCCAATGAGGTCCAAAATCGGACTGGACTTGTTTTTTTCAAGTCTGGTCCGGAACCGAACCTGTTGATTCAAGTCCGGTCTCCGGTCCTTGAAAAATAGAGATTTAGGTCCCGGTCCCAACAGGTCCGGTCTGGTTTTGGACCGGTGTACAACCCTAATTATGGAATAGACTACTGTAGTTGTAATTCATGGCAATTATTAAGCTATTTCTTTTAAATTTCTAGGTACAAAATTTAGGTCATAAAGGCCAAAACAATAGGTCCAATTATCATGCCCAATTTTTAGGCCCAAAATAACATGCCCAAAAAAAAAATCGGTTCGGTTTGGATTCAATTTTCAAAACCGAATTATTTCGGTTTGGATTGAATTGGATTGAATCTATATTTGGTTTGGATTCGGTTTCAAAAATCCAAAACCAAATTAATTTGGTTTGGATTCGGTTTTGTGTAAAATCCAAACCGAGTACCGAACATTCACCCCTAGTCTATTCAACCAAATAATATTTGGATCAAAACTATAGGACTAAAAAATCAGTTTAGCTCGGTTTTATGATGTTGACATAAAAAGAGGAAAATAAGTTATAGTTTGGTGAAATGGGCTAATAACTGCGTTGGTTTATGAAATTTATTTAATGGAATATGGATTTAAGCACTCTAAAGATTAAATACTCAACCCGATTAATAATGGTAGTGAAAGGTTGTTCATCATCAGGTTTGGTTTTGGGGAGACATTTTTAGGTGTCTACAATTAGGATCTTGCTAATTATATTTTGATGATTTGATTATGATAATTGTTGTGTCGATCACTATACATTGTTTGATTTTTCATTACGTTCTTCCTGCAGGTTTAAAGGGAATTTATATTTGAAATCATGCTTAATAAGATTATTAATAATTTGATTTAGCCTTATATGATTTTAATTCAAGTGATCGCCATAATCGCCAATAATAGATTTATTTGTGCATTAATAATCAACCAATGTAGATTAAATATGCTTATAATTTATTTATGAATGTATGTTGATCGAAAAGCGCACATGAATATCATAAGAATTAACTTGAGGCCAATTTCGGGCAAGTTCAATCTCTTTTAGGTTGGGTTTGTACCATCATCCTGGAATATACAGTCATGGTTTCGGACTTTTATGGAGTTAGTGATCTCTATGATCGTGAATGGGTTGTACCCTTCAATTAATTTTATTTTAGCTCCAAATAATAAAATTACTAATATACCCTTTTTATAAAATAATTCTTAATTAATAATTAGAAAATACGTATGAAAATACGGGTATTACAGTCTACCCCCCTTAAAATAAGTTTCAACCCGAAACTTAGCCAAAAGAAACAAAAATCATTTTGAAATTATTGGTTCATGCACAATCCTAACTTGACTCAAGACTCTAACCAGACTCAAGTAAGACTCGAAATCACTCAAAAATGACTCAAAAAGTAGTTGCGCGTAACTCTATCGCCCTCTACCCCCCTTAAAAGGAGTTACGCCCTCGTAAATCGACCAACACATTAGCTCACTAAATAAATCAACTATATTAACAATTTATCAACAATCATCAAGAAAAGTAAGGAAAACCAGAAAGTTTCAAACATCCAAAGAGTTTAGGTTTTAAAATGATTTGAATACGAATAAAAGTAGTGAGTAAACTTGAAAAATATTTTTATAAGTCATTCGAAAAGTAATTTAAAATACTTACATTAGGAGAAATCATTGAAAATACTGTAAAAGTCTCTTATATATTTAATTACAAGGTATAAATTTTGTATACTTGTAATAAAATACTTATTTCAATAAAAGTCTTACTTTTTCATAAATAAATAAATAATAAATAAATAAAAACTCAATAATCACATATTCAACTTCATAGAAGACACTGTCATGGGTACTTAGCATAGAAGGAACACATCTTATCTTGACCCTCTTATCGCTTGTAGATTAGCAACTTGTCTCAAGGTATCCTCCAAAGGTATTAACAACTTCCCCAACACATTCATAAATCCTGGTAATACATCCTTAAATCATAATCATTAACTCTTGGTTACTTCATAATATTTCGTTTTAAACATTTAAAAAAAACTCGCTCATCTTTTCTCAAAATTTCAAATTCCTCATTCTGGTTGTTATAGTCCATAACTCATCTTTAAGGCAATTCATTAATACCTCAATGCAATAATTGATTATTCCATCATTAATAACTCCTCACCTATACCAATAAACTTTGTCGTCAATCCATTAAAGTAAAATCCTTTAAGTAACCATCCAAACAATCATTCTTTTAACTAACTCAACCCGATTAATAATGGTAGTGAAAGGTTGTTCATCATCAGGTTTGGTTTTGGGGAGACATTTTTAGGTGTCTACAACTAGGATCTTGCTAATTATATTTTGATGATTTGATTATGATAATTGTTGTGTCGATCACTATACATTGTTTGATTTTTCATTACGTTCTTCCTGCAGGTTTAAAGGGAATTTATATTTGAAATCATGCTTAATAAGATTATTAATAATTTGATTTAGCCTTATATGATTTTAATTCAAGTGATCGCCATAATCGCCAATAATAGATTTATTTGTGCATTAATAATCAACCAATGTAGATTAAATATGCTTATAATTTATTTATGAATGTATGTTGATCGAAAAGCGCACATGAATATCATAAGAATTAACTTGAGGCCAATTTCGGGCAAGTTCAATCTCTTTTAGGTTGGGTTTGTACCATCATCCTGGAATATACAGTCATGGTTTCGGACTTTTATGGAGTTAGTGATCTCTATTATCGTGAATGGGTTGTAACTTCACATCCGTGAATGGTTTACAATTAGTTCCTAAAACTTGTTGGTGCTCTTTTATCTCTAGATTCCTTCTCTTTGGACGCCACTATGCTTAAATGCATGACTATAGTTGGACTCAAAGTTGATGTTTGCAAAGTTCCCTACAAGTTTTTTTTATTTATATATTTTGTTATTTTTAATCTCATTAGTTGTCAAACAAATAAACTCTTATTTGACATTACATATATAATATCCTTTAATTTGATTGAATTTAATGACATTTGATATAGAGGAAATTTGATCTAAGGACTTTGGCACCCCAATACTTAGGTATTACCCTGGGAAATTAACCAACAACTAGCTAGTTGACATCTGACATCTACATAATATATAACATCAAATTATACACACACACACATATATATATATATATATGTGTGTGTGTGTGTGTATATATATATATATATATATATATATATATATATATATATATATATATATATATATATATATATATATATATATATATATATATATATATATAGAAGCATTATACACATCTTTCCTTGTGCATCCAAGTCGATTACCTAATAGAATCATGGCATGATTATGCTCCATAAAATGTTTTGTAACAACCCACATACCCTTTATCATCAATAATAAACTCAACATAAGCTCGACAATTTGTACCAACATCCAATTTCTCAAATCTCCTAACATCCCTCTTAGAATGGTCTTTCAAACCAACATTGAAACACAAATATTTCCTACATACGTATACTCTGCCAAACAGGAGTTTGACAAACTTTTCTCTTACTTTTGCCTTCCTTATACTAAAGCCAAACTTAAAAGTATAATAATTGTAAAAATCATATGCTTCAGAATCACATGTAACTTGCTTAAATTATAACTCAGACTGTTTGGCTTCAACAAAAACAATTGAATATGTACCGACTGAAATATAATAAAATACAACAAATGTTAACAATGTTCATAATTATAAACAATATGTTCATATGTTCATAATTATATACAATATGTTCATATTAAATGTCATAATGTTCATAATATATAATAAACTGCTTATTTATTAACAGAATTATAAAATTACTCATTATTATAACAAATATTTTCATAATCAACATAAGAACGTTCATAATATACAAAATGTTCAAATATGCAACATAAATCGTTCACATAATAAAACATGATATTGAGTTCACATTACAAATTACTAAACTACATATTCATCAATGAAATAATGAGCATACAATTCAGAATTAATTATGAATTGATTTATTATAAGCAAGTAGAAATTAAAAATAACATTCAAATATACAAATAATAATATTCAGCATGTATTCAGCAAATTGAACTAATATTGGAACAAACAATTAATAGAAATTCATACAAATTAACGAAAACTATCAAATTCATACAAATTAATGAGAACGATCAATAAATTAATCGATCAAATTAATGAAAACAATAAAAAAAATATATCAATTAATTGATCAAAATAGATTGAAATCGATTATAATGAATTGAAATTGATCATAATGGATTGAAATCGATCGGATTAGCTTCAAGAAATTCAATTAATATTAAAACAAGGATTAAATCCACAAATTCATCTCAAAAACAAAAAATAAATCAATATTGATCACAATGAATTCAGAATAACTAAACTGGATTGATCTCTTCAAATATTTCAACGATTTCCATCACGTTAAATGCAACAACTCAATGGAAAAATTGAAAGGAAAAAAAAGGAAAAATCGTCATCATTAATCCCAACTTTGTCTCGTCCGTCAATAATAATCCCTCTTTTGATTATTCACCATCAATCCCAACTTTATACCCTATTAATTTCTATTGCACTCAACCGGTCATCTAACTTGATGTAGCAGGTTACCTAGACACGTGTCAGCGTATGATTCGCTTAAAAAATAAAAAATAAAAATAAAAATAAATAAATAAATAAAGTTTTTAAAAAAATAAAATAAAATAAAATAAAATTTAAAAAAAACACCTTTTCACTTCTCCCCCTTCCCTCTCTGCTATCTATGGTTCTCCACTATGCCACTAGCAACCAGATGTCGGCAGCAGTACCTCCCTTCCCCCCACCTTCGTATCGCATCCTCCCTGCCCACCTCCCTTCCCACCTCACCGCTTCCCCTTCCCTGCGCACTTCACGCACTCAATAGACCCCTGTAACTCCCACTAGGCGAAAATATGAATTGGCCACCGGTTCAAAACCCCCAAGGCCACCGGTTTTGAACCGGTGGTCATTTGGGGGGTGGCAATAAACCGAGGCAAGGCCACCGGTTCAAAACCGGTGGCAAAAAGGCTTAAGGCCA